CGTGCATACTGGGTATTTTGATTGGAGTTAAACATACTAGATGTGTATACTGGGTATTTTGATTGGAGTTAAACATACTGGATGTGTATACTGGATATTTTGATGGGAATTAAACATATTAGGTATTTTGATGGGAGTTAAACATACTGGACATGTATACTGGGTATTTTGATGCGAGTTAAACATACTAGATGTGTATACTGGGTATTTTGATTGGAGTTAAGCATACTGGGTATTTTGATGGGAGTTAAGCATACCGGATGTGTATACTGGGTATTTTGATGTGAGTTAAACATACTGGACATGTATACTGGGTATTTTGATGCGAGTTAAACATACTGGACGTGCATACTGGGTATTTTGATTGGAGTTAAACATACTGGATGTGTATACTGGATATTTTGATGGGAATTAAACATACTGGGTATTTTGATGGGAGTTAAACATACTGGACATGTATACTGGGTATTTTGATGGGAGTTAAACATACTGGACATGTATACTGAGTATTTTGATGGGTGTTAAACATAGTGGACGTGTATACAGAGTAGTTTGATGATATTTAGTGCAAAGTTAAAGCCATTGGACATCTTTATACTAGGTATTCTCTATACAGTTAAATTGAACATCTGTGTACAGTGTATTCTGTGTGTAGTTAAGTCGACTGTATATTTATATACTGGGTATTTTGTGGCAATTTAAACCTTTTGCCAGGGGTAGGTCAAAGATAACATGTCATGACTTTTAGAGTTACATTCAAAATTTAATTAAACTACTTCATTTTCATGGTGTAAGAATAAACTTGGCAAAATGTAGTTAATAAATCAGATCTTACTACTATATATGTTTTAAGATCTTAATTTTATGAGGAAATATTTATACAATCTTCATTCTACCCTAGTATGATGATTATGACATTTGCTCTCTATGTCTTCCTTCTTCTCTAATTTATTTACTACCCCTCTCTGAAGTATGGAATTTAACATAAATTACTTATTATAATATGGATATTACTGAGGCAGTCTAATTTCTATAGTCATATTTTTTTTATGCAGCCATAAACTAGAAAATCAAACCCATTTGCCACGCCCACCTGTCACTTCCTTTTTTTCACAAACTGCCAGTAGTTCTCTCTGATGTTTAATACTATATTATGTTTTACCAATAGAAAGCCAAAGTTTTAATCTATCAAATGGTGTATTATAATATTGTTACGCCTCCAGTCATTAGTTCATTTTCCGTAAATTCGTTCCAACGAAACTTTAGCGACACAAGTCCTTTCTTAAATAAAACTGGTTTATTCTTTCCGAATACAACTTTACCAATACACTTAATTTCAACAGTTGCTCTATAACAACACTATAATTCTCAAAGAACGTCTCACGTGCTCGTGCTCGACAGTACTCAGTTCAAATACACACTCCCTGACTGCAGTTCAATTACTCATTACCTCACCGTCGCTTCGTGGCCAGTCTTATATATACAAGACTACACTATATCTAGAAGAATCACGAAGATTTAAGGAAAAGACGTGAATGTTCGAGAACGACGTGGCGTGGTACTAGTCACGTGACCTCAATGTCGTAACACTGCCTCTTCCTTAGTATTGTTCGTCCCGAACAATAGCCACTTACATTAAACCAATAACAATTAACAATAACGTAAATAAATA